TTTCCCCCCCCCCCAGAGGGCCCCACCACTGCCAGAACCTGATCCCATTCCGCCAGAGCTGTGGCCACCTCCAGACATGGAGCCACCGCCCGAGCTTCCTTTTCCTCCTCCACAGATGGACCCACCACTGCCAGCACCTGATCCCACTCCACCAGAGCTGTGGCCACGCCGCCACTGCCTGAGCTTCCTTTTCCTCCTCCACAGATGGACCCACCACTGCCAGAACCTGATCCCATTCCGCCAGAGCTGTGGCCACCTCCAGACATGGAGCCACCACCGCCCGAGCTTCCTTTTCCCCCTCCACAGATGGACCCACCACTGCCAGAACCAGATCCCATTCCGCCAGAGCTGTGGCCACCTCCAGACATGGAGCCGCCACTGCCTGAGCTTCCTTTTCCCCCTCCACAGATAGACCCACCACTGCCAGAACCTGATCCCATTCCACCAGAGCTGTGGCCACCTCCAGACATGGAGCCGCCACCGCCTGAGCTTCCTTTTCCTCCATACCTTGATCCCCCTCCTCCTCCTCCACAAATGGAGCCACCACTGCCAGAGTTCGATCCCCATCCACCAGAGCTTCCGCCTTTTCCTCCCCCAGAGATCGACCCTTTCCTTCTGTTCTTGCTGGCACCGCCATAGCTCAGCCCCCCCTTCCCACTTTTCAAGCCTCCTGATCCCACTCCAAAGACTCCAGTAGCACTCGCATTGTGGCCAATGACACCTGCAAGAAATGGAAATGATGTCCACCTTATTCCTTTTACCCAAAGTATTATAAGCAGAACTGATATAGGTACTTATCTGTGGCCACCATTGTACCTGCTCTACTGGTCATGGTCGTATCTTTGAAAAGGGGCAACAAGTACCTTCGTTAGGAGTTGTGCCCGTGAAATGCTTTCTCATGAGGTTCTGGCTCTATTCGCTTATCTTTAACGTGACTGATGTCTTACTCTGTACACAAACACTCAGTGCAGCCCTTCCTTTAAAGAGGCCCAGAATATGGGTTTCTCTCCCCTTTATCTGGCCTCCTGTTTCCACAGATTTTAGGACCAGATCTTTTTTTTTCCTTCAGTTCTGACACGCACTGCATAGACCTATAGAGTAAGAGAGGTGTTCCCCACTTCCTACAAAATTGGTTGAAATTAGCCAGTAAGTTCCAGAGCCAGTAGCTCAATCTTGACATATTCACGCACATAGACGTGGATTCACCCCCACATTCACAGGAGACTCCCATTTGCCTCATTCCCCTGGGAAACTAATATAGGAACTGGGGTAGGGTGTTCTGATGGTAGGTGTTAAGTACCACAGAGAACAAAATGGCAACAGGGCTCTTAACATAGCAACGATGTTAAAAGCCTTGAGATACTTACAGATGGTGGCTGGTGAGCCCTCCTGTATCCTGTGAAGGAAAGGTGACATTGAGATAATGCAGCCCACGGAAGTAAAGGCAAAGGGTCGGATCATGCCCTGGGGTCACCACAACCCCACGCAGCGCTCCAGGCGTGGGGCAGAGGGGCTGGAAAGCTGCCCGGCGGAAAAGGAGCTGGGGGGGTTGGTTGAGAGGTGGCTGGATAGGAGCCAGCAGGGTGCCCAGGTGGCCAGGAGGGCCAAGGGCATCCTGGCTTGTATCAGGAGTGGTGTGGCCAGCAGGAGCAGGGCAGGGACCGTGCCCCTGTGCTGGGCACTGGGGGGGCCG